TTATTTATTTTTTTTTTCTGCTCGAGTCTTATGTGAATATTGTGTTTATATAATGATGTCGTCTCTTGATTGGGTGTATGCGGCTCTCTTCGGTTTCCAGTGGCACTATGAAGATAATCTTTTCCAGTTAGAATATAACAATAAGTTTCTTTGTTCATCTTGTCCTTTTCTTACCTCTTACAAATCTGTAGACAAGAGTTGTAATAAAAAACATACAAGTTTTTCTTTTCAAAAACAATAAATATTATATAGCTAATTAAAGGAACCAGTACACTACACATCCGTTTTGGAGACAAACTAAACTACAAACTAAAAATACAGAGTGCACAGGTGATATAACACTTTCTACTTTTCAATTGACCTTTATAAAAATCATTCTAGTTTTTATTATTATTATTATTATTATTATTATTATTATTTTTTTTTTTTTTTTTTTTTTTCAAATTACCAGAGCTACCTTGGATTTATAGTAATACCAATTGGGCAATCTTTTTACACATTTTTTAAAGGTATATATATAGATGTTAACTTTACGTGTTTTTATATATATGTTTTTTTAAAAAATATTTTTTTAAAAAAATAGGTACTTTCACATTTTTCTATAATAATATATAATATATTTTTATATTTTTACCTACATTATATAATAGTCTACGTATTCTTGATTTTTTTGGTTGTGATATTATTAACCCAAGTAATATTTTGAATACTTTTAAACATATTTAGACAAATTATTAATGTTTTTTCGTTGTATAATTATTAACACATATAATATTTAAGATACTTTTATACGAATTTAGATAAATTATATCACATTCTCTAGATTGAGGAGGTATATATATAGGTTAAATTTAAGTATTTAAATATATTTTCCTCATAAAATAGCTTATAAAAAATTTAGGTAACTTCACACATATTTAAGTATTTAATATATTTTGTAAATTTTAGTGAACTCATCAGTTTATCCACAGAATAGAAATAATAGTGTTATTAATTCAAAAATAATTTAAATTATGTTATTATCTAAACTTTTTTTTTTTTAAATTTCAAGAAGTGTCATGAACGTGACAAATATCTTTTTCGTCATTATCACTAATATTATTTTAAGTTAAATTTATTTGATATTTTAAAGTCACAATCAATTCTATGGTGTTTTTTTTATATTCAAATATCTCAGCGATATTGTTTGATGATTATTATTTATGAAAATAATGAATACAATTCATTAACTATTAATATTATCTTTAAGAAAATGTTGAAAAATATAATAATTAATAAATAATATGTTCATCGTCATCATTTTAACATCAAGCCGCGACATGTTGGACTGGATGAATCAGTCTTCGTTCAACTCATGTTCATGGACTAGTCGGGTACCACACCAGCCGCTGTGGACCAAATATACTTCCATTTCTACTGTGACGTGAAACTGCTTTTTTCTATCAGTAACCTCCCCATGAAATAGCATTATCTTAAGCTGAAAAAAGTTTGCATTTGAAACATTCAAGTGAAACATTTGGCAGAATGTCAAATATGACTCGATAAACTTCAAATAAAGTGAAGTACTATGGATAAGTGGTGATTAATAGCTGACTTCCTAATCCGGAAAGTGAAACTTGGAACTTTGGAGCA